ATTTTTAGAGAATGTTTTGAAATAAAAGTCAAATTGCATTTAACCTGTGCGTTTTTTTTTTTATAAAAAGAAAAGGTTTTCCACATATGCAAAAAGTGCCCTTTTTTCCCCCTGGAGCACTTGCCCCCCAAAATGTCTGTGCACGCCACTGCTGGTCATATAATATTAATTTTATCAAATCAAGCACAGGTTTCTCCAAAAAATTAAACTGAAATCAATAACACAGAAATGCTATATTTTCTCATTGACATTGGTTGTAAGGATCAGGTATCTCTGCTGCAGCTTTATCTAGTGAATGAGACGTTCCAACTTCTTTGCTTTAACAATTTCAGGAAGAGACGTTTTGTGTTGAAATGCCATGATCAAATCCATTCACTGCAGACTTTATAAATTAGCATAAAATGAATTACATTTAACGTAAAATTTAACGTACAATTCCATAAATCTGTCAAATGCGAAACATTAAATACAATAGTAAAACTATTATGACATGATATAGGATAAACATATTTCATAACTGATATAAATATGTTCAAATATACAGTATCATTTTCAGCTTCAATCTACAAACAGTGCTGAAAGGAATTCACTTTCACTACGAGAAACGCAGCAAAATCTAGGTGTAATCTCAGGAAGCCACAAGTCACATTGATATCGCAGAGTGTAGAAGTTCTTAATAGTTATTGTTATAACCATGACAATGGAAGTAGCCTACTTCCGGTTTATTATTCTTGCTAGCTTCACAGTACTCACACTTCTTAAATCGGGGTAATCGCATAAAAACGGGGCACCGATGTGAATCCAAGTGGGTCAATCACTGTTGTTGTAGTCTTTAAGACTGTAATGTCGTAAGTCGACTGAACTGCAGAGGTATACTATGCTGCTCAGCTGTTGCTGCATTGACCAATCACATCTTATCTTTACACGTAGATAGCAATTAGTGTGCCAGCTGGACTGTCGCATGCACACTCGAAACAGACCGAAACAAATATGAATGATTTTAGGATTTACAATTGTTTTTGACTGTTAAATTTCATTCACTTTACCTGCAGGAAAAAATGTTAGCAGATTTACCGTTAGCGGTACTAAGTTTATCAAAAGCTAATTATCGGAAACGCTAATGTGGTAACAAAAAGGTTAGATTTGCAGTTCGCGGATTAGCAGAACCCTACCGGCCACTGCTTTTAATACAGTAACATGTTCTTCAGTAGAACATAAAACATGTGTTTGTCAAATCATGCTGGCCTACCATGACTATTACAACTGACCAAACAATGGCACCCCAATAATAATAAGTATCTTTTTTGTGATATCGGCTTTACTCACCCCCGAATACTTGGTTTCTTTAAATAAATTTTACTCCCTTTGTTATTTACCAATATATGTTGTGTGGCTCATTTTGGTCTGCTGGCTTAGAAGTGAATGTGGAAGACGTTGTCCAAGCCCTAGACGACTAATGTAAACTGGGATCCTTGTCCAGGATTATAGTTTAATTGTGATGACTGAGATATCATGTAAAGTCAGATGGAGGAATCTATCCAGACACAGTGTTGTTGGAATGCATTAAATGATGTTCCTGGATAATACTGCTACATAATAATCTGGGAGCTCATTTATAAAAATGTTCGTACATTCTTGAGGAAGAATAAATGTATGTTATTCATAAAACTTTGCGTAAACAAAGATACGCATCATACAGGTTATAAATCCCACTTATCGTAAAAGCATTTTGACCATCCCATTCTCATCCAGAAATTACCCTAAATTGGCGATGCAAATTAGCCTCATATAAATATAGACATGCATAAGCCTATACTAAGTTTGTAACAGCATTTCAGAGACGATGCAGACACAAGTGGGGAAAAAGGAATGTCTAAGAATATGAAGTGCAGACTTTATTGTGTCTGAAGTATAGGAACGACAGACCATTTCATTTGGTACTACATTACGGGTGTAACAAACAAATGTCGAATGGCAGCATGTGACTGTCTGTGCAATCAACTCAAAAAGCTGGACAATTACAGAAATAAAAACGTATATATCAATGTATGGGATTTATGTCAGATATATATGTATATACCCCACATAATATGACCTACATTGCTGATGACATCACCGCTGAGCTGCACGCTGATGGAATAAAGCTGCTTCTGTTCACAAAAGCAACTTCATATTCTGATGGTACTTTTATTACAATGCGCATTCAGTTGATAGCACTGATAACATTAGGAAAGCTGGACATTGACACAAATTGCATTTTAATGTTTGCCTGTATACTGTCCTGACAGTTGGTTAATACCAACCACAACTTAAGGAATGATGGGCTGGGATATGGCTGACTGTAAATGCAACTTAAACGCACCTTTCAATCTGAAGTCTATATAATGCTTTTTTCTATTTTCTCCAATGGAGTATTAATCCATTGTAGTGCATTTCCCTGTTGCTCCCAGGAGTCTAGTGACCCTTATGAGATGTTATGGCAGTGGTATGTAGGGACTTGAGAACGGCACAGAAAGGTGGCAGAATGGCGGCTTGTCTCTTTCTGTTTACATTGCTTATACTTTAAAATAAATGTCGATATACAGTATAAGAAAAGTCTTATCTGGAAGTCATGGATGCAGAGCAGACTGACTAACTGACAGGGTGTCAACAGCCTTTATAAGAATAGACATAGCAAAATAGTCAATTCTGGCCACAAAAACCTGGACAAGGAGGTGAACTGGTTGTCAGAAGCTGTACCACTTGTTCTTCAGACCAGGTATTCCACCTGAAGCTACAGTAAGTAGCTTTGGGCCTGCCCAGTACTGTGGTGTAAACTGGTGTTGTCCTTCAAATGAGATGTTAAAATCGAGGTCCTGATTCTCTGATGTCATAAAAGATCCCTGGGTTTCTAGGGGTGGTACCCTGACGTCCTGATTAAACTGCTCACTGCGGCCCCATCAAATCTGGCCTCCTAATCATCTCCTATATCTAGTTGGTAAATTGTCTCCTGCCCCTTCACCACCTTAGCTACCGTGTGGTGGGTGTACTGGTGCAGAGTGGCTGCTGTTGCATCATCCAGATGGGTGCTACACTGTGGTGGTGTCTGAAGTGTCTTAAAGATCTTTGGGTGTTGTGAAAAGCACTATATAAATGCAACATTCATTCATTAAATGTATCATTTATTAGCAGTTAAATACTCAAATATAAATATTTAAAAATAAAAAAATATATAAAATTTATAAAACAAGAAATAAAACCCAAGTGCCCAAACAAAATAGCATAAATCTCCATTAATAGGAGTTTAGAAATTAAAACACACCGGAAATATAAGAAATAAATAGAAATACCCAACAAATAGTGCAAATGCAAAACACATTTGATTTAAGTCAGTTCGAATCGAACTTTGCTTTTCCATATATATCCTGGCAGACCAGGCCACACAAAGCTAAAAATGTTTAAGGTTTTAGGTAGTGTGATAATTCTTTAATATGAAGCTTTGTTCTGGTCCAGGATGCCAGTCTTGTAGCAGGCTGTCATTTTCTGCTCCTTTTTGAAACCAGATACTCCTCAATGTAATTAAAGAGCAAGTCCAATTCCCCCATGGCTTTGTAGAGTCCATCAACATTCATCTGTAAAGAGAGACAAAACAGACTGGTCAGTATGGACTCATAAACACAAGGTCTTACTACAGTAACAGTGCATAAGGTAATCCGCTACTGAGCCTCTTCGCAGTGTTTAGAGGAGCACATGCTGACACTTACGTTTTTGTATGTAGACGTGATGATTTCAAGGGAAAAGGGTTTCTTGCAGGAAAAGTATTTTTTCTGTAAGAATAAAAACACAGAAATGAGCATCGAGTAGTATTCTCATTGTTCTGGCTCAAATGAGTAATTTGTGACGAGGCAAAAATAATTGCAGATCTTTCTGTGTATTTAAAATATTATTATTATAGGACCGGTCCTATTCTGATCATGTTCCACTTCATAAAATTAACAATTAGTAGAGCCACATGGTGTTTAAATCACTCAAACTACTATTCCACAGTAGTATTATACGTGATTACTTATTAAATACTATATTTTTAGTAACAAAATTATTTATAATTGAGAAAACTACCGTAAATATAAGACTTTTAAAATATCAAAGACGGATATGCTCTTAACACCATGGTTAATAGCTCCCCGCGTTAAAAAGGCTCGATATTTTTCAAAAGTGAGACGCAAAAAAAAACCGCTACTGACTCAACCTAAAAACCAAGATGAATCAGCAAGACTACAAGGCAAACGCGAAATATTGATACAGCGCTCGGCTCATTTCACAGAAGGACGAGCCTTTGCGCTGAAGTGCGCGTCCTAGTTGCCGGCAGAATCTTTACAATCCCGACTGACAGCGAGCCCCCTGATGTGTCGGGACGCGCTTCCCAGTCGGAGGGCGGCGCAGGTCTCAGGACACTTACGCAGGCGATTACGTCTTTCTTCAGGCCGCTGAAGATGCCCGAGATGATGCTGATGTCAGGCGTATGTAACCGGGGCGCTTTCGTGGCCGCCGTCGGCAGGACCGTGTCCAGGTAAAACCGAAGGATGTCGTTCATTGCGTGGCACCCGGAGGGACTCTACAGAGACACGGCAGGGGGGAGTGTGAGATCATGACCCACAGCCCACTCCAAATGTAGGGATTTCTAGCAGAAGAAGCCAGGTTTTCTGCGTGCTGCTCATGCCAGAGCGCGTTTGCTTTCGCGTATGGAGATGTCATGTTTCACTGACATCAACAAGACCCGACGAGGCCCCCATCGGTTAATAAATGCTATTGCATTATATAACCACTGATACCCTATGTACATGTAAGCATGTTAGACAGATATAATTGAAGTAATAAAGACAAAAATACTTACTTTAAAGTCTTGAAGAATTGTGTCATCTAGTAGTGCAGTGTCTGTGTTGTCATTGGCTTCCTGGAAACATAAAGAAAATAGGAAAAATGGGTATATTTGTTATTTTAAACGATGAATAATTTATGCTAACTTTACAGAAATATGTAAAACAAAAATACCTAAATTAAGATGTAGCCCATAGCAAAGTAACATGCATGTTCGTAATACTCACATAATAATTCTTTATCCTGGAAAAAGTTTTTCGAAGTTCTTTAAGTTTTGCAGGAAAACCTTCAACGAACTTGTCGCAGTGTATGCAGTTAGCAGAACTGTCAAACACTACTGCAATAATGAAAAAAGATAAGAAAGTGAAAGTTGAGAAAAGCATTCTTGCTCTCAGTTGTTTATATTATCTTCTCTGAAATTTGAGAAGGCTTGTCAAGGTACCAAGTGTGGTAACAGCTTCATTTATACTGTTGGGGTACAGGAAGTGTCACGTAACACTTGACACTTAACAACATGCTTAGGTCATCAAAATTAAGTTTAGTTTCAAATTGGAAAATGTCATAACGTAATAATGTGGAAATATTGCCTATGTTAATATGGGGAATGCTTCTGAATAATAATAATAAGAAGAATAGGAATAATAAATGTTATTATTATCATCTTTATTATCTTTATTATTATTATTGAGATGTTATTGTTTGGTCAGTTGTAGTTGTAATGATAGGCCGGTATGATTTGACAAACACATTTTTTTATTTTATTGTATTAAAAGTTATAACGTGATGGAAGCAGCCGTCTCATCACCGCCCAGGTGATGTTTAGAGGAACATTGGCATATACTGACACGAGAATGTGAATAATCCACAATAATTAATTCAGTATGATCTCTTTAATTGATGTTGTTAGACTGCCATATATGAGTCAGGTTTTGGTGCCAAAATAACAGCGCTTGTACGACTGTCAGCCATCAGTCTCCCTTACCTAAAAGAAAACTACTTTTGAATTGTTCAGTGCTTCGACTCTTTTGCACACATTTAATTTGATTTCCTATGCAAGGAATATAATGTGAAATATTTTTTTCAAGAAATTTGTAGTATTAGTTCACAGACAATATATTTATTTACGTTGTTTTTCATATTAATATGTTGATATTGTGATTTTTCTTTAGGAATTGAAACATTTTTTCAGCGTTTTCACTGATTCCCAAAGAGGGAATCATTTTTTCAGTTAATAATTTATGTTAACTTATATGAAGTACAACTATGGAGCATGTAAGAAATGACTACATAACTATTTGGAAATTGTGCCTTTCTTTTTTTCCAGATGTCAGCGCAGATAATAGAACTATTATTAGTGCTTAGTGCTTGCAAACTATTACGTAGCATGCCGGCCAGAAGTAACCGAGCCTGGAAAACGTTATTGGTTACGTTTAAGCGCCACCTACTGTCCAGGTTGAAAAACACAGTTTTTCTTTTTGAACTTAACTAAAGATTGACGAAGATTCGCTGCTTTTTAATTTACAAGGCAGCCCTTGAGGTTCATATATCTCTTAAAATACTGCTAATACGCTATTCCTGCTTGGATTTTACACCTTTATGACCAGAGCTGAATGTAAAATTTTCATTTAACTTTGCTCTGGTTGGGAACTCGTATAATATCCATCCATCCATGCATCTATCATCTCTCCCTAACCTTAACAGGATCACAGGCAGGTAATTAGTAGCAGATATGACATACAAACAATCACATAGTTTCTTTTTTTTTCAGCTTCATTATTTAAACTAATTATCTGCTTTGTTGCACAGGGCCTCCATTAGACCTATTTTAGGGGGACTTTAGCCCCCCCCCAAATAAATGTGTATTTGTTGGCTTAAGTGATGAATAACTTTTTATATTATATATGTTTGAAATTATGACCTATGGTCATGAGCTGTGGGTAGTGACCGAAAGAACGAGGTCGCGAATACAAGCGGCCGAAATGGGTTTCCCTTAGAGATAGAGAGAGGAGCACGGTCGTTCAGGAGGGACTCAGAGTAGAGCCGCTGCTCCTCCGCATCGAGAGGAGCCAGGTGGCTCGGGCATCTGGTCAGGATACCTCCTGGACGCCTCCCTGGTGAGGTGTTCCGGGCATGTCCCACTGGGAGGAGGCCCAGAGGAAGACCCAGGACATGCTGGAGGGACTATGTCTCGGGATTCCCCCAGAGGAGCTGGATGAAGTGGCCGGGGAGAGGGAAGTCTGGGTTTCCCTGCTTAGACTGCTGCCCCTGCGACCCGACCCGGAAAAGCGGTAGATAATGGATGGATGGATGGATGGATGTTTGAAATTACCCCCCCTGTAATGACCCCCCATCCATTAATCTCGAACTACAGCCCTGTTGTTATCTCGGATAAGGGGCTCGAGGGACGGCTTTGTTTTCTTGCACTTCCATGGTCGGATGTTTGATTCTCCCTCTGTTCTGTGTGTGTCTGACCTGTAAGACTGGTTGCAGGATGGATCACCGAAGCTAATTCTGCTTTGGGATACAATCCTCGCTTGAATTTTCTTGTTTAAAATAGAATAAATTTCCACTACAATACTAGTCCTAACATAACTATGTGGGTCAAAACTCATGTAGTTAAGATCTGAACGCTGAGTCCAATCATAAGCTCACGCACCCCTACAAACTTTGGATGCAATCCAACCCATCGCTTCCCAAGGCTGCAGCACCAAATTGTTGGTGGGGGTTTGCTGCTGATATAGTCCCCTCCTGTGCTGAAACCAAAGCTATTCCTTAGCTGTGGGCCATGGTGCTGACCAATGAGAAGCCCGATTCATATCAAATCGCTATGTTTCGGAGGCTGCATGTGAGTGAGGACTTGTGTGCAAAGTCCCACAACAGCTGCAGCCAAATAGCACAAATAAAAACCAATGGTGCAAAAGGAAGTATACAAATTGCATTATAACATACAGCATTGTAATAATAATTTGCAAATTATACTCTTAGAAAAAAGGGTAAAAATCTGTACCTTTGCTTGGCAGTGGGGCTGTACCCTTGTAATTGTACCTTTCAAGGTACAGAAATGAACTCCTAGAAACATCCCAAAGGTACAAACAGCATTAATGTACCATAATGAGTCCATTTCTGTACCTTAAAAGGTATTATTACCTACAGCAAAGGGTACAATTGGCAGACCCTTGAAGGTACAGCACCAGTGACAAGCAAAGGTACAAGTTTTTACCCTTTTTTCTGAGAGTGCAGAAACAATAAATGTATGAAACACCCATATAAATATTAGTATGGATGGCGGTGAATGGGGTCGCAAGACTAAGGAATATTTAATGACCTTTTTCTTTTTAGCTATTTTAGAGAGATTTAAGGCATTTGCTTGCTGGATGTAAGGTTCTGCCTGAGTAGCGGCAGCAGTTCGTTCCATGGCTCAGCTTTTGGCCCCCGACTCCAAGGGCGATTCTGCCAAAGGTCTGTGTCGTGGGAACAGACAGCTCTGGCTCTCGGGGTCTCACCCGCCCAGGGCACATCCAGTGAAGTGCGAACTGCTGATTTATGAAACTATGAAAGTTACGAAGGTCTAATAAACTTCAATGAACTCTGCAACACGTTCTGGCACACTCAGTGATTCTCCGTCGGTCCCGGAGGCCTTATAGGAATCTCCAGGGCTCGTTTACCTTCTGAGTATGTGTACATCAGCAGACAGAGCTTTCCATACTAAGTGGTGATTTTCAGTTCCTGTGTAAAGGTCCCAGCAATGACTGGCACATTTATCTGGAGCAGTTTACTTTGGAAAAATTCAGACACTGTTATGCATGTTCACTATGCAGATATGCAAGATCCATCAGTTCAAGCAGAAGACAAAAGGCAAGGGACATACTGGATGGGATACCAGTCCATCACAGCAAAATATGATACATAGAATGTCATAATATTATTAATAATAATAATGATAAAATAATAAATATTATTGCCACAGTGTAATAAATCATTTTTGGACACTGGATTGTCAGACACCTTGAATCTTCATGTCTGAATGAGTATAAGAAAGTTGAAACACACACACATGTTAATCCTATTCCTGTCATTCATCAGTTCATCAGCTGGCTCTCCTGCATTTAGATCATCCATTAGATATTTCTTCTTCCTCTCACCTTCAAGCAGAACATTTCAGTAATATGAAGTTCTCTTGTAATGAATGAAAATACATGTATTAATTATGTTAACCAAATGACAGGCTGTGATTGGGGGTCCGGACAGGGACAAGATCGATTCCACACTAAGGGGTTACATGACGAATGATGTCTCATTCATGAATTTGGGGGAATCAGTAGATAGAACAGCGATAAGCTGACTGTAGCTAGAATAGCTGTTCAAAATTTTCATATTGAATAGTGACCAAAAAAATAGGCACAATTTATTTATTTCATTTCACATCTCCAAAATAAGCTTATGACTCCTGTGTTTAGAAAGTTGCAAAGGATGAAAAACTGTAGAGTATGTTATGTTGACAATGAATAAGACCAGTACAACCTATATGTCTCACAATGTTTCAGAAACAAGGCAGGCTCACTACTATATTGCCTCTCAGTGGCATTCAGTTGTTCCCTTTTTTCTAGGAAGTTAAAGAAGCTGCTTTCTTCTCAGGGGCAGGGGTTTCCAGGAAAGAAGCAGCATGAGGGTGAATGTTTCAGATGAGTCCACACACCTCACTCTTTGTTCCAGTGTGAGACCGCAGTGGTTGTCAGGGTAAGACTTAGATGGGGAGATGGGGTTAGCACACTTTATCACAGTGAGGTTATTGTTACTGGAAATTATTTTCAAAGATCTGCAGAGCAGATCCGTCTGCAGCCCTCCCTCTGAACCACCAAAGGAGAAATGCAGTGTGAACATTATTATTTTTAGGCCATGCCTATTTTTAGACAAATACTACATTTTTATAGTAAGAATTAGACAGTTTGCCTGAATGGAAAGGGAAACTTTTGTTACCTGAAGCAGATTACAGTTCAAAGTTTCCATCTGTCATTTTCTACAAACCGCTTATCCAGTGATGATGTTATGTTGATCCAGAGCATAAGCTGGGAAAATGAAAAGACCAGTCAGGGCAACAGGTAAACTGGGTTGGGGCATAGCTGTGACCAGGGACTCAATCAGCCACACTGTGGTCATTTGTCGACAGTGTTGCAACAAAATGCTCAATACTCACCCGTATGTGAAGATTTCAACTTTGTGTTCACACACAATAGTATAGCAGCATGATGGGAAATCAGCAGTTTTGCCGGAGGTTCATTAAGCTTATGCAGTCCCCGTCTGGTTAAGGTGTGTGACCAGTGTCTGACGCATCTATTTCCAGGGTCTGGACAGCTTTGCCCGATCATTTCTGAGCTTTGATGGTGATGTGACAAGCTTAATCACATGACATGATTGTATGTGAAGAATATGAGTCGC